TACCATGGCAGGGCATTCCGGAAGAAATTTCGAAGTGCAGAGAACGCAGACAGGATTGGGTCCGTTATGGTTACAGAACTGCAGTAAAGTGGAACAATTTTCAGCTTGTGTGATTGGAGGATATCTGGATGCATATTATAAGACTGTCCTCCATAAATGAGGAAAAGTTGAGGTGCCTTTATTATTTTTTTTGTTCCACTCTTTGTTTCTATGGGAAAATTTGCCAGTGCAATATTACTGGCTTCCTTTTAAAACAAATAAAACTAAAAAAAAAAAAAAATGGCAATGGCTGTTGAAAATAGCAATTCCACGCCTAATAACCACTGGGAAGCATTTCTTGCTCAATTTTATCCTACTTTTTCTAAAGCAAGTTACAGTGGATCAGTATATTTGATTTGGGGGTGTTCAAATCTGGAAGGCAGGTGCTAGATTCCCTTTCTGAATATTCGCTAAATCTGGAAAGGAAAAGTCAATTTCTGCTTCCATGGCTCAGAAGTGGAAATCCTCCTAAGTGCCTGGTACTATATCTAAAGCTGCCCAGGTCCAGAGCCTCCCCTCCCTTACTTTTCATTTTAAATTTTAGTGGGATCCACGTACCTCCCTTGCTAGGCTTCAGATAGAGAGGGGCACTGTGCATTTAGTCCACCCAATTCTTTCTTTGGAGGCTGTAAGGTGAGGTCACAGCAGTATCCCTAATCAAGGCTGGGGATGTCTTCTGAAGGGGATCTCTGGGGCAAAGCCTTCTACTCCCCAGTCACAGTGCCACCCTGCTAGAGTTACCATATTTCAACAATCAAAAAAGAGGACGGGGGGAGCCCCGCCCTAGCCCCACCCCCATCCACTCCCTCCCACTTCCCGCCCCCTGACTGCCCCCCTCAGAACCCACAACTCCCCTGCTCCTTGTGCCCTGACTGCCCCCTCCTGAGACCCCCCACCCTAACTGCCTCCACCATGTTCTCTGTCCAGACAGCGGAGGAGCAGAGGGTTGGTCCCACATCGTACAAGATGTGGCAGGATCCAGTTTTAAATTTACCCCCTGCCCTTGCTTCACTGAAGGGGGGAGGGGAGAGTTGCTCTTGACTTGTGTGGGGTACCAGGGAGTGGAAGCCCCGACCCCGCCTGAAGTCACTGGTACAACCCTTCCCGCTCCAGCTGGGGAGCTGCACCTGGCCCTAGGGGCTGCAGGGTCCACCACTCCGGGAATCTCCCTCCTTCCTGCCGTGGCTGCGGGAGGCTCCCTTGTCCCGCTTGCAGCCTTGGCGGGCATGATGCAGCAGCCAGAGGGGAGGGGAGGAAAACCCCCGTTTTCCCCCCCCTCGCCAGGCAGCCTCCTTTGTGAGGGCTCGGCCCTGACACACTGCCCTGCCCGATCTGCAGCCACACCAGAGAGTGTCCGAGGGCTGCAGGCAGCGCCGGAGCTGCCGGAGGATGAGTCGGAGCCAGCCCCGCACCAGTGGGCTGAGCAGGAGTTGTCCCGGGAGAGTTTCCCTGCAGGATCCGCTCCGGCCGGCAGAAAGCCGGGAGCCCGAGGGCGCCCATGCTGGCGGTGCTGCACGGAGGGAGGTTACGGGCTTGGACGCTGCACGGAGGGAGGTTACAGGCTTGGGCGCCCAGGGAAACTTCTCCCGGGACAACTCCCCGCTCAGCCGGCTGGTGTGGGGCCGGCTCCGACTCATCCTCCGGCAGCCCCGTCTGCTCCAGCGCTGCCTGCAGCCCTCGGACTCTCCCCGGCATGGCTGCAGCTCGGGCAGGGCAGCGCTTCAGGGCCTTGGCACTCGCCACCCAGGGCTGGGGCCGGGGGACCCTGGATGGGTCCGGGCTCAAAGAGCACCCAGCTGTGAGCGTGGCTCTGAGCTCAACAGAACCCCTAGCGGCTCCTCGGCGAAGAACCTCCGAACCCTGCAGTCCCTGGGACGGGCGCTCAGAGGCTTGCTCTGGCAGGGTTACCATATGTCCGTATGCCGGCCGGCCGGGAGGGATTTTTAAATATCGAAACCCGGACGTTTTTAGATATTTAAAAATTCCTCCTGGACGGCTATTTAACAACCAAAAAGCCGGACATGTCCGGGGAAATCCGGACGTATGGTAACCCTACACCCCGCTCTAGCAGTGAGCTCTCCATTCACAGCAAGCTGCAGCATGAGGTTTCAGCTACATACTCCTCCCCTCCCTTTCCTGTGGATAGCAGCCCAGGGAATGCTGGGAAATGTAGTTCTTTCCCTGCCCAGGGCTGGCTCTATGGGCAGGGAGCTAACCAAGGAACTACAGCTCCCAGGGCTCTCTGTTGGTTCTCAGCTCCCATGCTGGATCCCTGCTGGCTGCCGCCCCTACAAATGGGCTGCCCCAAGCACCTGCTTGCTTTGCTGGTGCCTAGAGCCGCCCCTGCTCCTGATTTTAGCTCTGGAGGTCACCGTTTCAGTCCCTCGTGTTCAAGATGGTGGCTGTCAAACTAGCACTATCAGGCAAGTTCCCTGGAATAAGTCACAGGCACAACCATGTCTATACATTTGTGAGAGCAGGATCTGGGCAGCTTCCTCCCTGCTGCTGGGCAGAAACAGTAAAATCAGGCACATCCCTGAACCACCACCTGAGTCGGAGTGGGAGGAGCCACACCCTAGAGTGGCTGACTGCGTGAGCATCAAAAACCACCTCTTCACTCAGCCAGCACAATAACACTCTTCCACTATCATCCACCCAGAGCAGGACCACATGCTATGTCTGGGGTTTGATACCCAGTCTCTGTTGGCATGCATGCGCACACACACACACCCCTCAATCTCCATCCTTAGAGATGTAGCTGTGTATGCTTAGCAATGCGATAGTGGTCTAACATTGCTGCTGTCACAGAGTCATTAAATCCAGTGATGCATGGAGATCCTTGCAATTTTACAAGGGGCCTCTGCTTACATTTTCCCATCTGTTCCCATGAAATGTCACTTCTTCCCCAGGAACATTGCATAGCAGCCATGCCTTCACTTTGTTTCTTCTCAGGACACCCAGGGCTGTGAGTTACCCTGTCACTATCTGCCTCCAGCGCAAAGGAGACTTGCCTGTACTAGCTGGGTGTTAACTCCCTAATACAACCAGCCTCTCTGTCATGCAAGCACTCTGCTCTTTGCACTGAAGGTTGACAACAGTTGCACTCCAGCCCCCAAGTCAGCTCAAAGTGTACCCCTAAGGTGTCCCATCCCTGATTACTGGATACCCATAGAAATGCCAGAGCACTACCCCAGTTTACCCGTTAAACCTTAGCTTACGGCTCCTTTATCGCACACAGACCTTGAGTTCAGTTATTGTAAAACAAAAGGAAATTTATTCAAGGAAGAACAGAGATTCAACTAGAAACAAGGGTTACATACAGAATCCTAAAACACAAACTAGGGCCTATCCTTATCAATAGTTACCTTTCCTATCTAATTAAGTAGGTTCTCTCCCCAAAGTTCAGTCCTTTGCAGTGGGTGCTAGTCCCAAGGAACTCTGATCCAGTCTTTCATGAAGCAGCCCCACCTATCAGGTTACCTCCTCCCTGAATGGATGCAGACTGACTATCTCCACCCTGAGATACACTGAACTAGTTTGTGTCTTTATTCCCAGACAGGGCGATTCTCCTCTCTGTCATATCATTCCTTTTCACTTCCAAATGACTTTGATGTTTATAGTTTTTTCCATTGACTTTTCTGGGTTGGTGCAAAGGTAGACAAATGAGTCTTGCATTATATCACCAGCTGACCCGGGATGGGCACAACTCCCTCCTGCTTGAATGGGCCGTCACAGAGATATATTATTGCCTTTTAATTCACTCTCACTTCATAAGCCTGAGACCATATTTTCAATATACCGTATATACTCGTTCATTAGCCCGTTCGTTTATAAGCCGACCCTCCAAAATAGATAGGTAAAAATAGCAAAAACGGTATGACCCTTTCATAAGCTAACCCTATATTTCAGGGGTTGGAAAACTTTGGCTCCTGGCCCATCAAGGTAAGCTACTGGCAGGTTGGGATGTTTTGTTTATTTGGAGTGTCTGCAGGCATGGAGCCCCTCAGCTCCCTGTGGCCGCAGTTCGCCATTCCCAGCCAATAGGAGCTGCAGGAAGTGGCGCGAACCACGGCCACAGGGAGCTGAGGGGCTCCATACCTGCAGACGCTCCAGGTAAACAAAAAGACAATGTATTAGATGTTCAAGTCAATGATTCCATAGAGTTTAAAATCATCACATTTTGGTGTAGACCCGTTTATAAGCCGATCCCCACTCTTTGATGCATCACTTTTTTACCAAAAATATTTGGCTTATGAACAAGTATATACGGTAGTTACGTTATTCCTGAAATATTACATCATGTGGTGGTTATGAGTATCGATACAAGCTTTCAGTGGAGACATCACATGCTTCCCTTTATGGATAAATACCATGAAACAGCAGTGTATCAGGTGTAGTGAGTTTGTCCGGTCTGAGGCAGGAGTTGCTTGTATCGAACAGTGAACTCTTTGACAGTTGGCATCAATGGTCCTTTGTGTCACACTAACCCTATATTTTTTCCGTGGGTAGGATTTGTGACTCCTAAACCTGACTTGATCTCACACCTAGAACGAGGAGAGGTGTCATGGGTCCTGGATCTCCCGGGCTCTGAGAAAAGGGACATGCTGACAGGAACCTACGTAGGTGAGGAATCAGATAAACTGACTCAGAAACCATTGAGGGGTGAACAAAACAGTTGGGATTCCCACTGAGGCCCTGTGAGCTGCCCCAGTTCTGCCTCATTTCACCCAGGACATGACTATCCCCAGCCCATCCATATCCTTTTGCCAGATGTCACTCATGGCTTCCCACCCCACCCTGACAGATGCCTGGCACTAGCTCCGTCCCCCTGAGTGTTTGGATGGGGTGTAAAGGTAGAATTGGTCCCCTCCCCCGCTGTTATTTGGGTTTGTTCTCCACATTCCCCTTTCTGAGATTCCCTGTCCGGATTCTCTCTCTGTCCCAGCAGGTGATGGGACAGTGAATAAGAACAAGGAGGAGAATTCTCAGCAGGAAGGTCCTGAGCAAGTGGTTCCACAGGGGACGGTATCAGGAAGATCGGAAGGGGATTTTTCCGAGACTTCTGAGCAGGGAGAAGCCTGTCAGACACAGCTCAGGCCAGAGCGGCTGCAGAGAAACCTCTCTGGGGAGACACAGGGTAAATCCAGTCACCGTGGGAGAAGTCTCAAAGGCATCCCAATCTGTCAGGCGACCCACTTGGGAAAGGGACCAAAGACACTTGGTGACTCAGGGGAAAGCTACAATAGCATTTCACATGTTATTAGTCAGCAGAAAATCTGCAGAGCAGGAAAATCCAAGAAATGCACTGACTGTGGAAAAAGTTTTGCTTATAAATCGGAACTTGATAGACACAATAGAATCCACACCGGAGATAAACCCTATAAATGCCTCAACTGTGGGAAAAGCTTCACTCTGAGCTCCACCCTGATAAAACATCAGAAAACTCACACGGGGGAGAGACCCTATAAGTGTCCTAACTGTGGGAAAAGCTTCCGTCAGAGTTCGCACCTTGCTAGACATGAGGGAACCCACAGGGAAGAAAAGCCCTTTAAATGTCCTGACTGTGCAAAGTGTTTCAGTTGCACCGCAAACCTTCTTACCCATCAGCGAATCCATACGGGAGAGAAGCCCTACAAGTGTCAACACTGTGGGAAAAGCTTCACACACCACTCATACCTTCTGGGCCATCAGAGAATCCATACAGGAGAAAAACCCTATAAGTGTCGACACTGTGGGAAAAGCTTCACACACCGCTCAAACCTTAGTACACATCAGAGAATCCACACAGGAGAGCGACCTTGCAAACCTAAGGACTGTGGGAAAAGTTTCAGTATGAGCTCGGATGTTATTGGCCATTAAAGCTGGAAGGGAGACTGGCGAGGGATGGAAACCATCTTCAACAAAGACTGTATCTTGCTAGGTTAAGTTATAGTCTTTTAGATTAATTTTCACTTTTATTAGCTTAAGTATCAGAGGGGTAACCGTGTTAGTCTGAATCTGTAAAAAGCAACAGAGGGTCCTGTGGCACCTTTAAGACTAACAGAAGTATTGGGAGCATAAGCTTTCGTGGGTAAGAACCTCACTTCTTCAGATGCTGGCATCTGAAGAAGTGAGGTTCTTACCCAC